ATGTGGTCATGTTTAAATAAAAGTACTAATACACATTTTTAAGTGTTTCACAGTTTATACCCATTATATCATTTGTTCTCACAATAGCAGAAACCACAGTGTGTCAGCCCTGGAGGAAACCTCAAGAGTCCATCCCACTTGGTTTTGCATCCCTGGGAGCTGATTTTTTTTTTTTTAAAGATTTTATTTATTTATTTGAGAGACAGAGATCACAAGCAGGCAGAGAGGCAGGCAGAGAGAGAGGAGAGAGCAGGCTCCCCAATGAGCAGAGAGCCCGATGCGGGGCTTAATCCCAGGACCCCAGGATCATGATGTGAGCCGAAGGCAGAGGCTTTAATCCACTGAGCCACCCAGGCGCCCCTGGGAGCTGATTTTTGTGCCTCAAAATATAGATGCTTTTGGGAAGGGCAGCGTATCAACTTTTACTGTCAATGTAACCTTATGTGAATGAGCATATCAGTCCCTTTCTGGAAGGCAGATTTTTAAGGGGGAAGATGGAGAAGGTAGGAGAGTGGAGAGAAAAGGGCAATCAATGCAAAGGGACACGAGGGGCCCCTGGGTGGCTCAGTCAGTTAAGTGTCTGACTCCTGTCTGCAGTTTAGGTCATCGTCTTAGTTCATTATCTCGGGGTCATGAAATTGAGCCCCTGTCTGGGCTCCATGGGGCATTTGCTTGAGATCCTCTCCCTCTGCCCCTCCCTCATCACTACTCCCCCACCACTTGGACGCGTGCTCTCTCTCTCAAATGAATAGATCTATTTAAAAAAAGGGGGGGGCATGTAAAGGCACTGAGGACAACAGTTCATCTACTTTTCCCCAGGACTTCTAGCTATCCTGCCGCTGTTCCAGCGGCCTCACCCAATGCAGACCCAACACCTATGAATGGGTTCCCGTTAGGCAGCCTTGCCCCATGTTGCCGCTGCCGAAATAAACACCGAGTTCTGGCTAGCGTGACCACTGACTTCTCAGCCACAAGGGCACACTTCCTTGGATCTGGCAGAGTAACCCCCTCCCTGGTTACCAGTCCATTGTTCCCGTTTTTCCCCTAGAACAGTCATCACTCATGGCTGTTCAGAGGAACCTGGGAACGGAGTCACTGTATTGCTGTTGCCAGCAAGACCCAGTGCAGCTTCCAGACAGAAGGTCAGAGAAGCTCTGGAAGCAGATGAGGCTTTCGCATGCAGACATGCAGACGGTGTCCCTCACCAGGATTCCTGCCCGTGCATCCTTGAAATCCAGGCCATGCTTTGTTTGCCAGGCCCGTGTCCTGGGTTTTGTTTTTGTTTTGGTTGTTTGCTTTGTTTTGTTTTGTTTTAGTTTTAGTTTTTTTTGTTTGTTTTTTTTTTTGCACAGAGTCTTTGTCCATTTGCCAAGCTCTGTGCCTGCTGAATTCCATCCACCAGAGAGGGTGTCTTTTGCAAATCTGCAGAAATCAACTTCACATGCTAACATGAACCTGACAGGCTTGGGGCCCTGGGACCCTGGGGTCCCCAGGCCTTATGGCCATTGCAGAATCCATTACTCTCACACAACAATGTTTTCAGTGATTTCAGTCTAACAAAAGTGAGACCTCCTGGTGGTTTTCTTTCTCCCTACCTCCCACTCCATCCATTCATCCTTCCTTCTTTCTCTTACTTCCTTGCTTTTTTAGTACTCTGACTCTGGGAAACTATGAAATAGGCAAAAGGGAGAGAACACAGAAAAAAAAAATAACAAGTCGTCTTTGTATTTGTAAAATGAGCCCGGAAGGATTTCTCACACTTACTCCATACATCTCAGCCCCCACCCTCCTCACCATGAACTCAGGGCACTCTGGCCTCTGGTGGCAGCCCCTGTTCACAGCGTTGAAGCCTGTCCTGGTGCTGGCTGGCCCCGCGCTCCCAGAGTCTGAGTCCCTGTTTCTGGTATTCACTTTGTTTTTTGTCTAGGCACTGCCCCCAGACCTCTACACCCACCTCTTTAATGAAGGCAAAACAAGGACACATTTTTTTCCTCCCCTCTTCCTTCTCCCTTGTCTCTGGACAGCACTGCTTGTCTGCTGGTGGGATGACTCATTTCTTTGTCATCCTCTCACCCCATTCAGCCGGTCCAGATGCTCTCATTGCCTCTGTGCAACGAGATGGAGCTAGTGCCTCATTTGAGATTATCACTGGATCAGCTCAAGGCCCAGCAAGGTCCCCCAAATGTGGGGGAAGATAAGGACTGACAGAACAGAGACTATCTCAGACACTGCTGGGAGCAGAAGGCAAAAATAGACTCCTTGGCCCCTTATGCCCCTGAGTTGTCAAAGGTTTTCCCATGATGCAGCTGTGTGGGAGCCACAATGGAAGCCCTAAGTCATGCTCCGCCTCCCCATCTGGTCCCCCTCCCCCATTTGTCCAGGGAATGCAAATGTGTCAATACTGCACTTCTCACTTGGCAATTTTCCAACATCTAGAGTTATGTTCCAGTTAGAAGGACCCAGATGTCTTTTTTTTTTTTTAGGACCCCGAATTCTTGAAATAATAAAACTGTGTCTTGGTGGGCATCCAGAGAAAAAAATGAAAATAACCCCCTGGGAAAGGGCTGGTTGGTTTGACAGGTAGTGCTAACGAGGGTTAAGTTCCTTGTTGATGTGTGGCTCATTTACTCATTCATTGCTTCAGAATTTCTTCATAAAGCCAAGATAATAAAGGATGAGACAATCTATATGTGTCTGTGAAACAGGATTAACATCCGGAAGAAAGAGAGGGGATGCATTTAACAAGGTCTATTTTTAAAAGTTAATAAGAAATGGGATGAAGGGGTGCCTGGGGTGCTCAGTGGGTTAAGCCTCTACCTTCGCCTCAGGTCATGATCTCAGGGTTCTGGGATCGAGCCCCACATCGGGCTCTCTGCACAGCGGGGAGCCTGCTTCCCTATCTCTCTCTACCTGCCTCTCTGCCTACTTGTGATCTCTCTCTCTCTCTCTGTCAAATAAATAAATAAAATCTTAAAAAAAAGAAAAGAAATCGGATAAAATTAAGAAGGGAAATTTAAGAGGGGTTTTGAGAAATTTCAAGAAAGAGGAAAGCCAGAGCAGGTCCCATGGCCAGAATCAGAAGATTCCACCAAGGGCTCTTGTTGTCGATGGGCTCAACTCCCCACTGTTCTCTTCTGAAACTCTGAGAAGCCGGTAGTAGTAAGCTTCCTCCTCCCCAGGAGAAAAGGGCCCTCAAAGAGCACATCCTATGAGGAGGGTCCTTGGCCCTCCAAATTAGAACTAAGGCAGATTAGATCCTGCCTTCTTTCTGTTTCCTTCACCATGGAGGAGGAGGTGGGGGCGGACTTGGTTGGCGAGCCAGGCTTCTGAGCCTCGCCTGCATTTTCTCCTTGGAATCCTGTTGACCAGCCCCCCGCTGCTCCCTCCCCTCGTCCCAGTCCTGGCTCCATTTGTCCTCCTCTGCCTGTCCCCAGCAGCCCCAGAAGAAGCAGTGGGGCATAAAGAATCTTCCCCCCCACCCTCTCTTTTTACCCTTGCTCTGAAGGGGGCCTGTGGCCAGTGAGGGAACGGACACTTCCAACGGGGAATTTCTTTACAAAGAAACAAAGGAGCCAGAGACAGACCCGGATGAAAGTCTTGGAAGCCTCTGATCTAACAGGGCCCTGAGGATCCTGGCGATGGGGGAGGGGTGGGACCGAAAGTTGTTGTGACTGAAGGGAAATGAGTCAAGGAAGAAATGCCTGATTTAATTCTTGTGGACAAAGGAGTGAGTGGGCCTGCCAGACCACAAAATAACACCCCGACCAACTAACCTAGTTTAAGCTGCGGAGGGCAAGATCACTGGGGAAAGGCACATGGAAACTGGGAATTTGGGGTCTAGGAGGATCTGAGTCTTATGACCAAAGGCCAGATGGCTCGGTTCCTTTCTGCCTATCTGTACTTTGTTGAGCCTGCCTGTAAAATAAGAGACAGACCTTCCAAGGGAGCAGTGGGGAGGGCAAGAGCCAGAGCAGAAGAGCATTTCTTGTGCTGGGCAAGGAGTTCTAAGTGTGAGAACCGAGGTAATGGGGGTAGGTTGGCTCTGTGAGGTGCTGGCCGTAGAGTCCCTATGGTGTCCTCTGAAAAGGTTTCAGAACGGACATTTCTATGGTTCCACCTAGTTGACCCCAGGGCAGGAATTTACTTTGAGGGCACCAAACTGGGACACTACTGCCAGGAAGCGCCAGGTGTGGTCTCACTATTCAGCCAGCCCACAGAGATCTCTGGGCAAGACAATCTCCTAGCTACTTGTGCCCGTTGACGGATGAATGGATAAGCAAGATGTGGTCTATACAGACAACGGAATCTTCCTCAGCTTTAAAAAGGGAGGAGAGTTGGGGGCACCTGGGTGGCTCAGTCAGTTCAGTATCCGACTCTTGATCTCAGCTCAGGTCTTGATCTCAGGGTCATGAGTTCAAGCCCCAGGTTGGGCTCCATGCTGGGTCCAGAGCTTACTTTACAAACAAACACACACACACACACACACAAAAGGGAAGAGATTCTGACACATGGTTCCACATGGATGAACCCTGAGAACGGTATGCGAAGTGAAATGAGCCAGTCACAAAAGGACCCGTAGTCTATGATTCCACCCAGATGAGGAAGCTAGCGAGTTGCCATAGTCATAAAGACAGAAAGTATCATACTTTCTGGTGGTTGCCGGGGGAATGGGGGTTATTGTTTATTGGGCACAGAGTTTCAGTTTGGGAGGGTAATAACGTTCTGCAGAGGGACGGTGGTGATGGTTGCCCAACAGTGTGAAAGCACTTAATGCCACTGACCTGTGCACATAACAGTTAAGATGGTCCATTTTATGTATCTTACCACAGTAAAAAATATATATACAATTGAAAACATCTTCCAGACACCTGTGGCATTTCCTGCCGTGGGAGTTGATGCTGGAGGGACTGGCCATGATCAAGTCATAGGTTCTCGACCTTTGCCACACTCCTTGATCTCTCAATCCCACTATGAAGCTTTTCCCCCCCTTCTTCTTCCAGAATTTAAGGTTCACTCTGAAGGAACAATACATACAATGAAGAGAGAGCTGGTGTGCGTTCTGCTGCTTTTTGGAGCAGCCCTCTCCTTGTCCAGCCAGGTAAGAGGGCAGTTCAGGTCTGTGCCTCGAGCTCGCCATGTACCCTTGTTGGACTCAGGAGCCCCCCGGGGGTTATGTCCGAGTGCGGGGGTGTCCGTAGGCAGGACTGCCTTCTTTGAAGCTGTTTTTAAAGAATGTGTTTGCATTCATGCATAAGACCTCTTTAAAAAGGTGGTGCACCAGCCATGAAGCTGGAAAGCCACCCTACTATCCACTTGGGATGGAAACTATACTCTGGACACACTCTCTAAAAATGCCCAGCAAGCGGGGGCATCATGGAGGGCACAATGAGCAACACCTCCACAGTGAGATTTTAGAGGATACAGTTGGGGATGGCGACATGGTGGAGAGGGAGGTGAGCTACCGCTCCACTAACCACTTGCGGCTACAATTAAATGCAATTAAAGATTCAGTTCAGTCGCACTAGCCCCATTTCAAATGCTCAGTCGCCACATGCGACTAGTGGTTATGGCACTGGACAGCACAGGAATTAAAGATTTTCATCACTCAGAAAGCTCTTATGGCAGCACTGGTCTAGAAGGAGAGGAAGAATTAGAAAAGAGAGCAAGAAGTGGACATTGCACCTGGGGCCAGCTATACCTGAGGGGGAATCTTCGGGCCCGGTGGCATCTGATTGGCGGGGGTGTGAGTGGTCTCTGGGTCAACCACGTTTATTCCTAAAATGCCCAGCATGTGCTGATCCTTTTTCCATCCCTGGTCGCTTTGCAGGAAATCCACACCCGATTCAGAAGAGGAGCCAGATCTTACAGAGGTGAGGTGAAAGGGGAGGTGGGTGGGGGTTCTGTGGAAGCGGGAGCCAAAATCAGGGCTTAGGAGTTCAGGGTACTGTAGGCTCTGTCAGGGTTTATCTTCCACCACACCCAGCTTACTTGAGCTGTGTGAAGGTGAAATTTTGCAGGGTGATTCTGTGAATGTGTCTGTGTCACCCCCATCCCTTACTCATTCACTTAGTTAGCTAAGGCCCGGTTCTGAGAGGACAGGAACAGACGTGCCCTCAAGGAGTCAGGCTGTCAGGGAGTCACAGAGCTGGCAGGGTTGGGGGGAGGGGCTGCCAGCTCAGGGGCCCGAAGCCCTGTTACACAGGTGAGAAGACAGAGCCAGAGATTGAATGATGGGCCCAAGGCTACACCGTGGCCAGGATGCAGCTGCACAGGTTCTCTGGTGTCCTTTTCTGGGCTGGGAGCTCCATCCTGCCGGAGTCCTCCTGGCATCTTTGTTAACTGCCATCTCTGTGCATGCCTGTCTTCCGGTTGGTAAAACCAGAGTAACAAGCCTGGGTTACCTCACACAAGTTGCACAGGTGTGGAAAGACTTTTCACTCTAGAGTCGACTCTAGAAACCTGAGGAACATCCCCCATGAGCACTAGGTAAGATTCCAAAAATAGAACATGCTCGCAGCCAGATTGTCTAGACTCTGGTTGGAAGAAATCTGGGCCCAGCTTCAAGTCTAAGGCTACCAACGTGGGGCCCTCCTCTCTTGTCCTTCATGACCTAGTTCCTTTGGGTCTGGAAGGCTTTGCAACACCTCTTTTAAAGTGGAAGTTTCCCCAGAGTGAAGTATGCTGTAACTTTTTTTTTTTTTTTAAAGAAAAAGTGAGATAAAGAGAGAGCGCACGTGCGCACACGTGGGAGTGGTGGGGTGGGGCAGAGGGAGAGAACGAGAGAGAATCTTCAGCAGGCACCATACCCAGTGCAACATAGGGTTTGAATCAAGACCCTGACATCATGACCTGAGCCAAAACCAGGAGTAAGACGCTTAACCGACTGAGCCGCCCTGGTGCCCGAACGCTATACTCAATGCCTTCGTTGTTGGATAGCACAGCATTTCCAACAAGGGTATCCTGGTCCCAGCAGACCCCCAAAAGAAACAATAATATTATTTACAATGAGCATGTGTCACTGCTTTAGTTAATGAAAAGTTGAAGATTTCTTAAGTTGGCAGTCTGCTTTGCAAACAGAGAGAGACGAAGAGGCCAGGAATATCAATGTGAGGACTCAGACCATTTTCATTACATCACAAATACTAGTGAGAGCAGCACATTCCCCACACACACTATGATGTCAATTTTCTTTTGGGCTAGCAATGCATCATTTGTGTGGTAATACTCATATGGGTCAAAAACTCTGGTAGGCAATTATATACATGTACATATTTCTGATGAAAGAAAATGAAAAATTAGGGGCACCTGGATGGCTCAGTCAGTTGGGCATCTGCCTTTGGCTCAGGTCATGATCCTTGGGTCCTGGGATTGAGCCCCACATTGTGCTCCCTGCTGAGCAGGGAGCTTTTGCTGCTCCTCTCCACGCATGCTCTCCCAATCTCTCTCTCTCTCTAATAAATAAATAAATAAAATATTCTTTAAAAATAAAAATATAAAATAAAATGAAAAATTAAAATATCACTTAGTAAATGCATTTTGATAGGTAAATTCTTCCAAGGGTGAGGGTCCGTCCAAGGAAGAACGACAAACACAGTTGTTGGCGACTGATTGGTAGATGTGTGTTATCTTCCGGCTGGGGTGACAGATGGGTTGTATGACTAGTGATTGAGGAACTTTCTCAATAGGACCTGGGGTGGGGCGGTGGCAGGTGGCAGTGTTTGGGCAGTTGTGCCCTCAAGAGGCCGCCTGTCTCTCTTTCCAGTGAGCTGCAGAGATGAGAAGACGCAGACACTCTACCTGCAGAACGAGTCATGGCTGCGCCCGGGCCTGCGGGGCAACCGCGTGGAGTACTGTCGCTGCGTGGGTGGCCGCCCACAGTGCCACTCTGTGCCCGTCCGAAGTACGTAAGCGCCCGCAGCCCAAGCTTGGAGCTCCAGCTCTCCCACTGCCCCCCACCACCATTGCGCATGTGTGCAGAACTTCAGCCATTGGTTCCCCATGGGCTCTGCCTTAGGCCCATGCGAAGGCACTGAGCCAACAAGTGAGACTGTGACCCAGGGCCCATGCCTTCTCCAGCCTGGCCTCAGCTTCCTCATCTGTCCAATGGGGACAATGGGTGTAACTGCTTCACGGTTTGCAGAGGGGATGAAATGAGCTCCTTTTATAAACTGCTCAGAATAGTGCCTGACACGTGGAGCTCACTCCTATTATCCTTAGAACTGCTTTTTAAGGTGACCAGGGGCTTTCTTGTTTTGCCCGACAGGTTGCAGCGAACCCAGGTGCTTCAATGGCGGGGTATGCCGGCAGGCTCTCTACTTCTCAGATTTTGTCTGCCAGTGTCCTGAAGGGTTTATGGGGAAGCGCTGCGAAATAGGTGAGTGGTAGGTGGGTGGTGCGGGAAGAGGGACAGAATCCCAAGTCTTCCCAGAAAGGAGAGGCAGTGTGTGGTGATGTGGGGAGGCGGGCGGCGGTGGGGGGGGGGGCGGGGCAGGGAAGGATCCTGCAAGGGTCGGTTAGGAAACCAGAGTGTTGGGCCCAGTGGGCGGAGCCTTGGGAGCCAAGCTGGAGTCTGCCTGGTGGACCCCGGCCAGCCCCGTGTACCACCTGTGCCCCAATAGCTTCAGCAGCCAGCCTGCCTCGCTGGTTTGGGGTGACAACAGAGCAGACGTGAAACCCCTTTGGAAAACTAAATGACAGAAGGGGGAACTCACATGGGAGGCATCACATGTCCTGCTTTCAATCAGATGCCAGTGTCACCTGCTACAAGGACCAGGGTATCACCTATAGGGGCACATGGAGCACAGCGGAAAGCGGGGCCGAGTGTGTCAACTGGAACAGCAGCGCGCTGGCCTTGAAGCCGTACACTGGGAGGAGGCCCAACGCCGTCCAGCTGGGCCTTGGCAATCACAATTACTGCAGGTGAGAGGGCCGCCTATGCTCCTGAGCTCGCTCCCCTCCCTGGGGAGGAACTGCTACATCCCGAAGTGACCTGGAGCCGATCTGCCATGGCTCTCCAGAGAAACAGAACCAATACACTCCCTACCGATATGGTGATTCATTGCAAGGAGTTGGCTGGCTGCGGGGGCTGGCATGTCTGAAATCCGTGGGCAGGCCAGCAGGCTGCAAACTCAGACAGGCTTCTCTGTTGCAGTCTGGAGGCCGAATTTCCACCCCAGCTTTCACTTCTAACGCCTTCCACAGATTGGAGGAGGCGACCCATACGATGGGGGTTAATCTCCTTCACTTCAACAGATTGCTGATATTAACCACAGCTACAAAATCTCTTCACGACAGCACCTAGATTAATGTTCTATTAGATAAATGGGCACTTAGAGCCAAGTTAATCCATAAAACCGATCATCCCAGGCCAGCCCTTGTCAACGCGGCTTCTGTGCACAAGTCCTTAACCCACCCTTAGTCTCCAGATGGAGACAGTAGCCAAATCCTACTTCCACCCAACCTGATCCAGCTCTCCCGGGTACAACCGGAAGTGTACGGACCTTTTCCCCGGAAGAGGATGTAGAGTCCTTGGGTCTGGGAGGGAGGCTTCACTTTTCCCCTCCCACGGCCTTCCCTGGCTGCTTTTTCAGAAACCCCGACCGTGACTCGAGGCCCTGGTGCTACGTCTTCAAGGCAGGGAAGTACAGCAGTGAGTTCTGCAGCACGCCAGCCTGCCCCAAGGGTAAGTGCGACCTCCCCTTCCCCCCCCAAACCCCAGCATCCTGGAAGTAGAGTCTCAGAGGATAAAGCAACTGTGTTTCTACAGCTGAGGAGACAAAGGAGTAGGCTGCTGGTTCATCATTTTCATTGCAGAGGGAAGACAAGTCAGGAGATGTAGGTCTTCATCCAGGCCTGGCCTCTAATTAGCTGGTTGACTTTGAGCTGGTTTCTTTGCCCCCGACCCTCCATTTCCTCAGGTACAGAAGAGAAGGGGGCCCGCATTGGTGGTTTCCAGGCCTTTTGAGGAAGGCCATGATTGAGGGGCGTATTTTCCATCTCTCTCTGTCCTTTTAAGATGTGTAATATAAGAAGATTTTCCAAATTTAAAAATACTAAATTATAAAAAAGCACTACGCATTCTGTGCTGCTTTTACAAATAATGATATCGCAATAGTATAAAACATGTGTTTTAAAGTTCTAAATATTCATACACAGTAATAATGTGTCTTCTGCCTACAGATAAGTCTGACATGTCTATGAATTTGAGGACCCTTTACAGTAATTCTAAAGCATCTTCTCCCCTTCAAGGATCAGTAAATTGCGACTCAGTGGTCTAGGTGGCCTTAAAGATCATTTTCATTATGTCGTTTAGAGTGGTACACTCTGCCAGTTTCAAGTGGGGAGAAAGGAGGGTAAAATGGGGCAAATAGGCAGCATCTTAGGTCCATATGCTCTCTTCCTGCTCAAGGCCAACAAACCCTTCAGAATACTGGCAGACAAAATCTGAGAAACTGGGGTCTGCTGACATGTCGCTCCATTGAAGAGCCCCAGTTCACCACAACCTGTCAAGTATAAACAAGGAAACTCCCAATTACCTTCAAAGCAGCTCCAGCAATAATCACTACCAGCTGGGCATAGACCCTTCCTACCCAACATGAATGAACCCTCAAGGATCTCTCAACACAGCAATCTAGAAAGCCACATCCAACTGATGAAAGCTGGCCCACCACCCGAAAGCCATTTACCACCCCTCTGTAAAAGGGCTTGGAGGAGGAGGAAAGAGGAGAGGTGGGTTGTTTATCTCCTCCCTCCTATGGGCAGGCTGGCTGCCTTCATCCTGTCAGGCCTGCCGCCCCTCTCAGGTCCAGCTGCAAACCCTGACTCACATGCTGTAGCATTTAATTGCTTTTGTTTCAGTTTGAGATTTCTTTTGTTCCAGAAAAAAATGAGGACTGCTACTTTGGAAAGGGGTTAGCATACCGTGGCACATACAGCCTCACTGCGTCTGGTACCTCCTGCCTCTACTGGAATTCTGCAGCCCTAGCAGGCAAGGTCTACACAGCATGGAAGAGCAATTCTCAGGCGCTGGGCCTGGGCAACCACAATTACTGCCGGTATGTAGCAAAGGGTCCATGGGGTTCATGTCTGGGCAGAAGGCAGGACTGGGGCATGGGATGGGAGAAGATTTCATAGCTCAAATTATAGGAAAGACCCAGTGGGTGGGAAGGAACCAGGGATATGATCTAGTCATACCCATTCACTCGCCAGAATAAAATCTTTTATAAAGAGTGAAGTTCACCAGTTTGTCAGCCCACATTGCAAGTTCGAGGTGCTGTCCCATAGCCACTTAGGCCTCATCTGCTCGGTTCTTATATGGCGCCTTTCTCCCAGTGAATCATAAGAGTGTCCTCACAGCATAGTTTCCAGTTCCTTCCAACATCCCTGTCAGAGGAGAATGTTGTGATAGAAAATGTGATAGAAAATGTGATAGAAAAATGTGATAGAAAAACAAAACTAAAGTTGTTTTCCTCTGGTGAGATCTCTGACAGAGCCAAGTTCAGAACTCAGGCCCCTCCTTTCCAACTCACTGTTTGGCTATTGGTTTACCGAGCCTCCTTCCTCTCTCACATGGCTTGTGATGTGATTGAAAACCTTAAACTCTCTTATCATCTAGGAACCCAGATGGGGATGCCAAGCCTTGGTGTCACGTGCTGAAGGACCGCAAGTTGACGTGGGAATACTGCGACGTCCCCCAGTGCTGTAAGGGCTGGCCCTTGGCCACCTGCCGCTGCCCAGCCCCCCTCTTGACCATTTCCTCTGTCACTTCCCATGTCCTCACAGCTGTCTGCTTCAGACTGTGTCGCTCCCAGATTTTCAGGAAGGCTTTGGTGGGGAGGGGCTTTCCATGACTGAAGCAATGCTCTGGGCAGGTGTTCACTCCCCATTCACAAGAGTGACACAAAGGGGCAAAGCGAAAGAGAAGAACTTGCCAGTTTCTCTTAGAATTCATTAGGCTCTGAACTTCTCTCTCCGGACGCCTTTATTAATGGGTGGTGATGAGGTCGTGGTGAGCATGGAGGAGGAGAGCTCACATTGATGGCTGCCTCCATAACAAAGTGATCTGGTAGCATTCTCCCGACAATGTGGTCAGAGGTGGTCTTCCTCTCTTTAGTTTCCAGATGAGGAAACCAGCTCCCAATCATGTGGCCGCCAAAGCTCACTGGGCTCCAGGTGGCAGAGCCTGTGTCTGTCTGTTCCCACGTCTTCTGACCCCACAGCTTGTACTTCTGCTGTGAACTCTTCCAGCTTTTCTCACAGAGCCCGTTTGACACAGGGGAACTGGGTGGGTGGAGGGAGAGGAAGACTCAGAGGAAATTCAAGCTGGCACATTTTGCTAAAAAACCTTAGTTTAGAAGTTGTCTGAGAATAGATTATTATGACTCCATTCCTGTGAGCACACATTTAGCCCGAATGTTGCTCAAGGTACGTAATTACATAACTGGGTGGGTAAGTCGCAAACTACCAGCGGACTCACAATGAAGGCCATGCCTGGAGAGTCCCCAGTGAGCAGCATCAGTAAGCTCGCTTGGAGCCTGGTGGGCTGGGAGTGTTAAGAAAGCTCCATGAGGAGGTAGGATTTCATCTAGGCCCTGACGGAGGGGCAAGGTGGGGTAGATGGAAGAGAAATGGGGCAGGCATTCTCCAGGAGGGAGCCGCAGGACCACATTATTAATGAAGCCAGGAGGTGGGTACGGGGGAAAACGGGCTAATGAAGCATAGCAGAAAGATCCCATTTGGAGTCAGACAAATCTGGGTTCTAATCCGGAGGCCGCTGTGAGCAAAAACTTGAGCAAAAATTTCCCAGCCTCTCAGGGTTCCAAGAGAAGAAACCGGGATAGGTGCTCAAGGAACTCACCTGAGGACTGCAGGTCTGATCTCTTTTCTCTGTCCTTTCCTCTCACAGCCACCTGTGGTCTGAGACAGTACAAGCAGCCGCAGTTCCGCATCAAAGGAGGGCTCTACACAGACATCACCTCTCATCCATGGCAGGCCGCCATCTTTGTCAAGAACAGGAGGTCACCAGGAGAGAGGTTTTTTTGTGGCGGAATACTGATCAGTTCCTGCTGGGTCCTATCTGCTGCCCACTGCTTCCAGGAGAGGTAGGGACTTCCGAAAACCCAGTAGGTCTCCCTAGATTTTGAGGCCTTGAAACCGGGGCCGTTAGAAGCAGCCCCCCAGCAAGCAGCACACCCTAAGGCTGTTTCTCCGTTAGGTACAATCCCCACCACCTCAGGGTGGTTTTGGGCAGGACATACCGCGAGGTCCCCGGAGAAGAGGAGCAGAAATTTGAGGTTGAGAAATACGTCATCCATGAGGAATTTGAGGATGACACTTACAACAATGACATTGGTGAGACGTCCTATTGTCCCTGCTCCAGACGACACGACAGCCACCCTGCCCCACCACGGGCGTCCCCACCTTTGCCTCCCACACCCTTGCCCTCTCTGTCTTCCTCCCCTCCTATCAGACGGAGCGTTTCACGAGGCTTATTCTCTTCCCGATCTCCTTCCAGTCCTGCTAAAACTGCAGTCGGACTCGCTACACTGCGCCCAGGAGAGCGACGCTGTCCGTGCCGTGTGTCTGCCCGAGGCCACCCTGCAGCTGCCCGACTGGACAGAGTGCGAGCTGTCTGGCTACGGCAAGCACGAGGCGTGTAAGTGGAAGGAAGTCTCGGCTCCATCCTGTCGGATGCCCCCAGGGCAGCGGGCCATGCAAATATTGAGAGGAAGAAGTCACGAGAATGTTCTAGCCCTGGCCCAGGCACTGGTGCTGTGTAAATATAGGCTGTTCCCCGCAGACCAAGAAGCCACCGTCTGCCTTCCCCACCTCATGGGGTCACTATGCAGGTCAAGAAAGGAGTGAATAGTACAAGTGCTTGGAAGGGCTTAAGATGGCAGGAAAGTTCCAATGAGAAGGGGAGGCTGGTGATTAGGGTGTGGGGCTCTTGGGACTCTCTGGTCCTGTAGGTCTGAGTCCGCACCCTAGATTTGCGCCTGGTAGGGGTGGGAGCCAGGACGTGGGTTTTCCTGTTACACGGCCCTGAGCCTTGGCCCCCTCACTGGGAACATGGGGGTAGAATCACCTCCTGCCTTAGAGTATGAGAATTCAATGACAGTAGGTTAAGCCAGTGGTTTTCAGCCAGGGTGTTTGCCCCCCAGAACACAATGGCCCTGTCTGGAGGCATTTTTGATTGTTAACGACTGAGGAAGGAGGTTTATACTAACATTTAGAGAGTTGAAGCAAAGGGCGCTGCCAAACACTTGCAATGCACCGCCCCCCTCAAAAAAATGATCTGGCCCCAAATGTCAATAGCGCTGCTCCTGAGAAATCATGAGCGAAATAAACCCTATAAAATATCTAGTTTGGGGGATGCCTGGGTGGCTCAGTCAGTCAAGCGGCTGCCTGGGGCTCAGGTCATGATCCCAGGGTCCTGGGATCAAGCCCCGCATCAGGCTTCCTTCTTGGTGGGGAGCCTGCTTTTCCCTCTGCTGCTTCCCCTGCTTCCACGTACACTCTGTCTCTGACAAATAAATAAATAAAATATATTTTTCAAAGATTTTATTCATTTATTGGACAGAGATCACAAGCAGGCAGAGAGGCAGGCAGAGAGAGAGAAGCAGGCTCCCCGCTGAGCAGAGAGACCGATGTGGGGCTCGATCCCAGGACCCCAAGATCATGACCTGAGCTAAAGGCAGAGTCTTAACCCACTGAGCCACCCAGGCGCCCAATAAATAAAAATCTCTTTGAAAAGTAAAATATTTGGTTTTGTCGGTCAAAGCAGTGTTGACATTTCCTAGGCTTCAGCCCCAGCCATCCGAAAGCTGGATCCGAGCTAGCCATTATTAGAATAGTTGGCTTCCTCCTTCTAAAAGGTTTATAAGTAACTTTCCCTAGGACCGTAAGATATTTTCCCTTCTCTGTTTCAGCTTCTCCTTTCTATTCTGAGCGGCTGAAGGAGGCTCATGTCAGGCTGTACCCATCTAGCCGCTGCACTTCACAGCATCTGTTTAACAAAACCATCACCAAAAACATGCTGTGCGCTGGAGACACGCGGAGCGGTGGGAACCAGGCAAACCTGCACGATGCCTGCCAGGTAGACGCAGGGGTCTTGCCGCACTCGGGCACTTCCAAGGGGAAGAGTGGCTCTTGGCCCTCAGGTTCCAAGCAAGGAAAAAGTTAAGAGCCAGAACGGTTGAGTTCTTCTTGTTGAGGCACTGGAGGTTCTAAATGAGGGCTTCAAAGAAATAACACCATCAGAGTGAGATCAAAGTTACCCAAACCTAAGAAATCTAAACTGCAGGAAATTTCCCCAGTGTCTACCCCGGAAACTCCACCTGATTCAGGGTTTCCTGTAAGCCCAGGCAATTGATTGACTATTGAAGTGATGGGTAAAGCCACACAAATGAGGCGATGCTTGACTTCTGGAGGCTGGAGAGTTGGAATCTGCCATGTAGGGGTGGGGGAGGAGGAGCTGCTGCTCACCCAGAAGTACGACCCAGATGAGTTGTGAGACAGAAGTTTCAAAAACTCACACCAGCCCTAAGATGAGGCTTGTCGCCTGGGAAAGCGAACTATTTCAGGCTATGTTGGCATCCTTATCAGAGTTGGTACTTCTGTTTTGTGATAACCAGACACCCGTAAGGGACACACCAGCCTGTGGGATTAGGACTTAGATATAACCAAGGCATCGTTATCGATGAGCCATTTCAAGCCTACAGTGTGCCAGGCTCTCCATCGAGGGGTTGGGTTTAGAGGGGAAAAAAAAGAAGGAAGCAGGGCTCTTGCACTGCAGATTTTGTGGGCTTTGTTCTTATAAGGTAAATCGTATCAGCATTTCCCTCCAGTTCCTTGACAACCTTTGTCTCTTTTCGGATGGCTTCTTTAGAAACCTCAGCTGTACCCCTAGCTCAACAGTCATAAGAAGGTTGTATGCAAAGTGAAACCTTCATCTGCAAGCTTCAAGTCAAAAACAAAAAACAAGAAGTGATTTTGATTCAATAAGACAATAACGGCCAACCGTGACCAAGAGTTTTGCAAAATGTCATGCTTTCTCCCAATTAATTCCCAGAACGACCTCTTACAGTAGAGAGTAGGATCCCGATCTTCAAGATAAGGATACGGAAGCACAGTTAGCCTGAGGCCACACAGCTACTGGGTGGTAGAGTTAAAAGAAGGAGCTTTATGGCCTGAAATGGCTGAGCAATTATCTCAATTCTAGTTTGCAATGTAGATACAGCCTAATCGTGGACCGGATCTAGACCGTAGGAGATGGAAAGGATAAGTGAATTGGGGGAAATCCAAGGGGGAGACGAAGCATGAGAGACTGTGGATTCTGAGAAACAAACTGAGGGTTTTGGAGGGGAGGAGGGTAGGGGGTTAGGTGAGCCCGGTGGTGGGTATTAAGGAGGGCACGTATTGCATGGAGCACTGGGTGCGGTGCATAAATAGTGAATCTTGGAACACTGAAAATTTTTAAAAAATAAAATCTTAAATTTTTTTGGAAAAAAAAAGATGATTGATAAAAATTTCCCTCTCTGAACTAAATACTTTGAAGAAGATGACATTAGCACTACAAATATTAACCCTAACTTCCCCTCAAAGAGTCTGCATTTTTGGCAAACAACTAACCCGTTCTCTCTACTGCAGGGGGACTCAGGCGGCCCCTTGGTGTGTATGAAGGATAACCGCATGACTTTGGTTGGCATCATCAGTTGGGGCATCGGCTGCGGGCAGAAAGACGTTCCTGGCATATATACCAAGGTTACTAATTACCTAGACTGGATTCAAAACAATATGCGACCGTGACCAAGGACATCCAATTCCCTGAAATCACGGGGAGACCCTGCTTCCTCTACTTCAGAAGACACACCGAGGCGAAGTGCTTTACAGAGCTGAGCCATCACACAGTACAAGCGGGTGGTGGGGCAGGGGGAACCCAGAGGAGAGGGAGAGGATAAGTTTTCATAGGTACTTCCCATTTTAGAAGTTTTCAGGGCTTAAGATCTGATTTCAGAAGATAGTTTGGCAGCTGAGAAGACAGATAAACACCAACCCCTCCAGGAATACCATCATCTAAGGCAGAAGAGAGGGAGAAGAGAAGCCCAGCCTCCTGATCTGTCACCACGAGAAGCTTTGGAAATGGGACCACAAAGATAAAAGCATGTCTCAATAGTAAAAAAGTAACGAGATCCTTCAGGAAGGAAGGATTGCATTAGAAATGGAATGTCTATTTATAGTGACAAGGAAGCCCAACGGGGCCTCCTAATAAGGGATGGGCTGGCTGGCCAGATCGCATTCAACACCACCTTTTAAATCAAGTATTTGGCTTTTCCCTTTCTCCACTTTACAGCTCTTGGAAGGAAATCTTTTTGTGTATAGTGTAAATCTTTTTTTCTATATAAACTTTATAATAAAACAGACTTGTATCATTTTAGTAACTGATAAACTAGGCTTTAGTATATTTATATCAACCCATTTTAATTTTTATTTTGTTGCCACACCCCTGTATTACACTGTGTGGAAATAATAAATTCAGATTATTTTCACATATTTTCCCCAATCTGAGTGGGATAATTTTGTTATACTTCTGCAGAATCTTACAGGTCTTTTATTCTTGGTACTCACTGTCACATTTTTAAAAATCATCTCAAATATTTCCTTTCGTTCATTGGACATATACAGAATACTTGCTGTATACAAGGCAACGTGCTAGGTGCTGGGGACAGTAAAAAGGGGGAGGAAAGCAGTTCTCAGTTTGACAGGAAAATAAGGTACTTAAAGAAATACCCAGGTATAACACTGATGGGTCATGAAAACTGGGTTTCAGTTGCAGGAAGTATGAGGGAATCTTAAGGAAAAACAGAGTTAGATAGTGCTTTCAAAAACTGGACGAGCTTTGGACTGGTGGGGAGGTATGGGCAAGGCATCATTGAGATCAGGAATGTCACTGCATAGAAATAGAAAGATCTGGAGAGCATCGTGGGCTGTGGGAGTATGGGGAAGGACTTTGTACAGGTTGTCAGAAGTGAAGGTCATGAAGAATGTAGGTAGGAGCTTTGATTATGGTGCTTCGAAGGCCAAACTGAGTTTTGGACTTGATTCTGTAGGCAACACGGAGCCACTGGTGCTTGTGTACAACCGAAGTAAAGAATTGAGCATGTGCTGGGGAAAATGAACCCCGAAGGGGTTGGAATGAAGGCAGGCTGGGTAGGCAGACTCCATGGACAGCACCCAGGGTAGTAGAAAGGGGAATGGGAGCATGACTTTGCCAACACAGCAGCATGCCACCGTGCGTCAGCTGAGAAGCTAGTATTGGCCATTTTCTTCCCAGTCCGTTTTCCTTTCCTGTTCATCTGAAAGAATTAACTCTCGGACCATGGGACGCCTGGCAGCCTCAGTCAGAGGAGCACACAACCCTTGATCTCAAGGTTGTGAGGAGTTTGAGCCCCATATGGGGCCCCATATGAGATCATTTAAATAAATAAAACTTAAAAAAAAAAAAAAAAAAGACCATGCACTCCCAGACCAGTCCACGCTAGTATGTTCCTTAAGGATGCTTTCTGCTTCTCTTAGACTTAGCTCAAGCTGCAGCTCCTGTTCCTGGCTGAAGCTGACAGGTTGTATCATCACTGCCAGACCGGGTCCGAGAAAAAAATCTAAGGGTGCTTGCTGTTGGATATATGCCAGCAGTTTCCCAAAGAGGAGACAAAGTTGCAGTTGCCTCTATCTCTTGGAACGCTGTGAGAAAAGCTCACTTTAGAGGTTCTTAGAAGAAAAGTATGTAGTTTTAGCTCACAGAGGAGAATCTCTAAAGCCCAAGAGTTTGATTTAGAGGGGAGCAAAACCCAAACTTCCCTGAAATACGCAAGACCCCTCCTCCCCCACCCAGAGCAGTTAAGCCCGAGGTCACAGATTCCTCCACCTTAAACCTCTCCCATGCGTTTTCCCCACGCAAGCAGTACATTTTATGGTAGAGAGAAGTGTGCCCGGGCCATTTAGACAAACCCTGCTCAAGGACAATAGGCAGGACTCCCAGAGAGTGCATCTCTGGCAGGAATTCAGTGGGTTTCGCCCCCTCCCCTTTGCATGACAAGACTTTCTTCAGAGACCCGGATGAATGAAATGAACTGAAGCAGCAAGGCCTCCTGGGATGGAAACGCCAAGTTCCAGGCCGCAACATTCCTCCGGGTGAGGTCCTGGCAACCAGAGGCTGGGTGAAGACATTGCTCACAGGAGGCCGCGGACCAAGCTGCAGGGCAGAGTCCCAGTCCCGCAAACAGATTCCTGTGAGTTACACTAAAACACATTCAAAGAACAACAACACATCATTACCCGGTGTGGGTTAGGAAATTTAGGATAAAATGTCCCAGAATTTGGCAGGCAAGGGAAAGGTGAAATTAAATAGTTCCTTATCCCCACCTGGTTAATAAAGCAAACAGACGCTAATAGATCTGAAGGACAAGAAAGATTCTTAGGCAGCTGTGCAATACATTTTAGTGGATAAAGACTTAGAGGTACTCAGATGATGGAAACTGCTATCATCCTAGAGCCCCGATCTTAGGTCTGGTTATCAAAGAGTGTCATAAATTTGAGGGTCCACGTTTAACTTCAAAAGTCCAAAACTCACACCATCCCCAGTACTTGGGATCCCCCAGCACTGGGGGAAAGTTTAAGAGTTTCAAATTTGATTCTCTCTTTTAAAATTCTAACGATCAATAAATTAATTTCATTGCTAGCACTGAGTCTCCACCTACTGGTCACAGAGGAAAGTACATGTATTTTTTTTTTTTTTTTTAAGATTTTATTTATTTATTTGACAGAGAGATCACAAGCAGGCAGAGAGGCAGGCAGAGGAGGAGGAAGCAGGCTCCCTGCTGAGCAGAGAGCCCGATGCGGGGCTCGATCCCAGGACTCTGAGATCATGACCTGAGCCGAAGGCAGCGGCTTAACCCACTGAGCCACCCAGGCGCCCCTTGTACATGTATTTTTATATAAAATTTACTAGGTCACACCACAGTGCAACCAGAGCAGCCAGAGCACTGGCTGGCACTGGGGGAAGAGATGTTACCAGCCAAGACAGATGCGATAGAGTATTAATAAACACCAAACACTGTAGTTCATAAACAGAAAAAAAGCCCTAATGTCTTTTCATGACCACGAGGGATTTACCAAAGGATATCATTACAGTTACGGGCTAACAGCCAGTTTCCATACTTTACAGATCGCCCATGACTTAACTTCATTTCACGCCTGAACTGGCCAACCTAAGATCAAGAGCGTGGTGAAAGCACTAGAATAGCCATCGGCAGCTTTAATGGGGAAAAACGACTGATCTTCACCTTTGTTCTCACCACTTTATAAATGACATTAACATCAACATCCCCTATTTCCAGAGGTAACGAGAATCCTACCATAGCTATGGCATTAGGTCTACTGGTTTGAAGACAAAAGCAGTAAGATCTTCCTGAACTGACTTACTTCTCACTGCTTCTTCTGAGGCCTGCCTGGCATAACACTGCCGTCAGTCCCAGTAACAAGACAGTCAGGACACAGAGGACTGGTAAAACTCAACTTTATTACCATTCAAACACAGGAGATACTTCCACGCATGTTAAACACATATGGAGTTGAACAGCTCAACCAAGATTCCCCGCTGGGCGGTTGCAGCAATGCCCCGCTAGGCTCGAGGTCTGCTACACGCGGGATACATTACTCCATATGCTAAGGCCTGTGGGTCCCATACCCTAGATATTTTACTTCTCCTCAAGTTCTTCCCTTGAAATTAGGATGAACTGTCCTGGAGGAAATATCACAGCTGGATGTATAACCCTAAAAACATCCAGGGACCAAGACTGATTGTTTTCCTATTACCTAGGAAATCTTCAAATCCTCCAGAGCTCTTAGAAGAAGTAATTTTGAGTATTCTGGGATCATAGGCAGAGCTGTTCCCCCTACCCTGCCAGGTGTGTATAAAGGACATAGTCATTCGGGACAAATTCTGGAGTGATGGGAATATGAAACACACCTGTTTGTATACAACACAATTCATCCCAGAGGAAAACCACAAAGTAACATTACTGTGCAGGAGAAACAAGTCCAGGAAGTAGGGAGATAAAACTCGTGAAACAAAATTGCTGAAGGACTTGGAAACGGCTTCAGAGAAAAATGTAAGGTTTGGAGAGCACAGGTTTTTATTTTTCTCCATGCATGAAGCAGAGCACAATATCACTCTTTTAAGCTAGAACAATAATAATTTTTAAAACCTGTCTTTTATATAAATATTTAAACGAGCAATAGGCATATTGAACTCGAATAAAAATTACCCATTGGGAAAGTCTGAGGTACTCCCTCAGCCGCCATGTTTCTTAAACTGGGGTACACATGATCAACATGGCCCATCTTCCTTCAGTAACAGCTTTATTCAAAGGTTTAGAGGATATATATATATATATATATATATATATATATGTCTTAAAACAAAGATGGGCCAGTAGATTTAGATTACTAATAGCTCTATTATAGAATGGAGCACAGAAGACTCCAAGGAGATAACTTTACTGAGCAGCTTCCAGGATTAACCATGCCTCTCAATGGTAAGCATTCTTTTTACTTCGGGTTACTGATGGAAAAGCGTCAGACAGCAAGGCTTAGACTCCAGCACTAGCCCAGCACCGACAAGCGTAACTAAGGAGTCACTGGGTTACAGCTGCGATGCACTTCGTGAGGAAGGTGGTCATCTACACTCCAACGCTGTTGACACAAAAAATCTGGCTGCCCTGGGATTATGGGATTGGCTTTTCTGCAACCGTCCTTGGGTACCAGGAAAAAGGCTGGTGAATTCTGCAGTGTAAGGTGAGTAAACCGTTTTGGGTTAGGGAAAGGGGCATTTCAGGCAGCCTCTGCCAGGAAGAGGGCAGGTCACCTTCTCACAGACGATGACAGACCAAGTGCTAAAGGCAAACAGTAGTTAGTACCTGAAAACTGGTCAGATATCATCATAGTCTTCAAGGGAAAATCTAAAGCTACTGGGGTTTCCCATGTCATTAGTGGACTCAAATTTAGGAAGCTTCCAGTTCACTTCTAGAAGTACTGATGACTTTATATAAATATATCAAAGTAGAGGGATCAGAAAGAAACCAACTCCACTCTTCCTTCCAACCCTCCTTCATGTGGGGCTTGACTGCTTTTTCTGCCCCTTTCACTTGAGCCTGTGTCCTCATACTTCTTTGGTACTGTTTCCTTTCTTCTCCCTAATAGATCAGATTCATTATCAACTGGCCTTTCTGTGACTAGATTCATTTCCTTCTAAGCTTTCTTTCCTTCATTCTCATCTTTCTACCTGAAAAAACAAAAAGAAGTCATTCACTGGCTTTAGATCATTAAAGCCAAGCAAGTAACAAATCCTACTCTTTTTCTATGGTAACCACGTTTAAAATAGTTAGATATGGCATCAAGTGTCTCTACCCTCCGTCACACATCTCTTCTTGCAGAACTGAATTGGCACCGATTGTGTTTCAGTTCTGTCCAGTTCTCCCTGGCGACCCTT